GCATCCTAAGACCTGTAAATTCACTGCATATTTGTCTTTTCATCTCTAATAAATATACTGAGAAATATCCTACCTCTCAAAACATACCCTCTGAGATGTTATTTGTTTCACTTCGGGTATCTGGGGCACCTAGGGTAATTAGGCTACAAACGCCTTCATTTTATTCTGACCCACAGATACTGAGCATTTATGCACTAGACATAAAACTCTTGGTTCCAGGCTGCTTTGCCTTCCTTTCTGTCCAGCTCAGACTCCACGGTTCATCACGAGCTCACTTGCTAGCATCTACTGAACTCATCTGGCAAGACCCCAATATTATGTGATTTCAATTATTATTCTTTGCAGCCCTGGTATCTAGCATATGGAATGCTGCTGGAAAAGATCACAGGCCTCACAGATTGATGCCACTGTAAACTCAGGGTCAAGAATTTCAAGCCCTCTCAGCATGTTCCTTTTTCCTGTGAGCACTGGCTTCCATGCACATGGCCGTTGATTCCAACATTACACACTTTTCTCAAGCTGCTACTAGCTCTGCTTTAGTCACAATTTCTGCCTCCTCCTTCATGGAGAAAGCAGAAGAATCAGGCGAGAATTTCCTCAACTTTTTGCTGCCAAACTCAGCACCTGACTCTATGCTGTTCTACTCTGAGGCCAGAGCACAGTGCTGTCCCATCTTGGGCTCTGTCAACTCCCTTCTACATCCCAGGCTTACATAGTGCTGCAAAGATTTTGTGTTTTAAATTATCCTTTTTGTTTTGTATCATTAACTTTCCTCTATTTTCTCCTCAGCATTTAAATATATTCATATCTTCAAAGCACAACTAACTACTTAAACACACACATGCTGCACCTACGTCATACTTGTTTCTGTATCTCGAAAAGCCTAATACTATGTTTACAGTGGGATCATGAATGCTAAGTTCATGAAAGAACAAAAGCTAAACCTGTGCTTGCTGCATCTACTTTCTTATCAACACGATTTAAATGGACTGGAATGTGATTCCACCCTATCACACCACTCCAAGTGCTGACACTACAAATGAGTGCTCCTCCTGAGATCAGAGGACTCTGATCACTTGCTCCCTTTCCTTAGTCTTATAGACATGTGAGAGTTCCTCACACATGCAACTCTATATAACTACTTTATTCACTTATGATCTACCATGACCTCTTCCCTACTCTTTCTTTTCTTCAAAAGTAAAATTCTTAAAAACTGCACAGTATTTTTCCTAAGAGAATAAATTACTGATCAATCTAATAATTTGTTCTTTGCTATTTTGCTGGCTAGCTGTTATTGTTTTGCTCAATTAGACACAAACTAGCATGATCAGGGGCAAGTCTGTAAATTCAAGGCCAGCCTGATCTAAGACAGAGTTCCAGCACAGCCAGGACTACACAGGAAAACCCTGTCTCAAAAACCAAACAAAACCAGAAAGAAAACTCACCAAACCCAAGCTCAGAACCCCAAACCCATCCTGCCCTACCCATGCTTTCCCCTCCAGTCTCACTGGCTTCCCTCTGGGGTTCAGATCACCCTACTTCACTGGGGGACCTCCTGGATCTTATCCCTACATCACCTTACTTGCTGAACATGGTGGCACACACCTGTAAACACAGATCTTGGGAGATGGAGATAGGAGGATCAGGAGTTCAGTCAATCCTTGCTAAATGGCAAATTCTAGCCTGAACTACACGAGACACTGTCTCAAAAACCAACTAGGTCTGAGCTCAGCTGTGTGTCACTGCCTTACACTCTTCCCCAGCAGTGCTCTAGCCATGGTGGGACAGGCCTGTGGTCTCAGCACTGGGGAGCTAGAGGCAGGAAGGTCAGAAACTCAAAGCCTTCACCCACATAGTAAGTTTGAGGCTGGTGTAGGAAACATGGGATCATTAGACACAAACTGGTGTAGTCTGGGAGGAGGGAAGCTCAACTGAGAAAACGCCTCCATCAGACTGGCCCATAGACAAGTGTGCAGAGTAATATTCTATTAATGATCCACTGATTGATCTGTCCTGGGTGGTGTAAAGAGCAATAAATGACTCATGGAAAGCAGAGACGACCCCCTGCCACATGGTCTCTGCATGAGTTCCTGCCTCCAGGTTCCTGTACTGCTTGAGTTCCTGCCTTGCTTTCCCTCAGTTATGGACTAGGCTCAGGACTGTGAGCCAAATAAACCCTTTCCTCCCCAAGTTGCTTTTGGCCATGATCTTTCTCACAGCAACAGAAAGCAAATTAGGACAGTCGTAGATGCCCGAAAGTAGGACCATCTACCTCCCTCTGATAACTCCCTGAAGGTAGGACCATCCACCTCTCTCTGATAACTAGGGACTTCTTCCTTCGCCCACACCTCAGTTTTGAATGAGACTGTCTTTTTCACTCTTTCTTGTCACCTCTGAAACAAGTCCATATGCTTTCCTCCTACCTAACGTTCTGTTGCGATTGGAATACACGAGTGTCTGCAATATTGACACAGTACACACTGACATGACAGCACTGCACTAGCCTGATGACAGGGCAGCTACAGACATGAAGACATTCTGAACTTCAATTCCATTGACTGATTTTCAGAAAGATGAAATTTAAGCTGGTAAGCATATTATAAATCAAAATGGCATTTTCCCAATTGCAGAGGAAGTGGTGGGGATAGCTATGATACGTCTGAAAGGGCTTAAGAAACAGACATTCACACTGAAATAAAAAGACTATATGATGAACAGAGGTGGAGAAAACTGCACACAAGAACTGGGGAAGCATAAAAACTAGAAAATGCAAGTGTGGCTGAAGTGTGAGTCCACAAGGGTAAGGGCCATATAATATAAGGAAAATACAGAAGATTTGCTACTAGAACAGTGAAGTTAAATTTTTATAGATCTTCCTGATTGTAGTGAAGGCAGTGGGTTATAAGGAGATAGGAATAGAAAGAAAATTAATTAGGAAGCTACTAAAGAATGAGGAAACATCACGAAGTGATATAGTCACGGATTTGTGATCTATAAGAGACTATAGACCTAACGGAACAGTGAGCAGACATGGACAGTATGTATACTGGGTGGTTTTGTGTGTCAAGTTGACATAAGCTAAAGTCATCAGAGGAAGGAGCCTCGGCTGAGGAAATGCCTCCTTGAGATCCAGCTATAAGGCATTTTCTCATTTAGTGACCAATGGGGGAGGGTCCAGCCCACTGGGTGATACCATCCCGGGGCTGGTGGTCCTCGGTTCTATAAGAAGGTGGGCTGAGCAAGCCATGGGAAGCAAACCAGTAAGCAGCTCCCCTCCATGGTCTCTGCATCAGCTTCTGCCTCCAGGATCCTGCCCTGTTTGAGTTCCTGTCCTGACTTCCTTCAGTGATGAACAGCAATGCTGAAGTGTAAGCCAAGTAAACCCTTCCTCCCCAACTTGCTTTACAGTCATGGTGTTTTGTTGCAGCAACAGAAATCCTAGTTAACACAGTATAGAAGAAAAAAATGACAAGATCACTCTCAAATTCTAGAGCTCTGCAGCATGGCCAACTGCAGGACTGACTGCTGAAGCAGGAAACACTGGGAGGAAAGTCGAATCTTTCCTGCTGGTGTGTGGAAATAGGTGAGAATTTCTGAGTTCAGTCTCAAGTTAGACTGTAAATGTCCAATAAAGGTCAAAACTGTGAAAAATCAAATGGCCTTTAATAATAAGGGGCATTACTGATGGTTGCTGAAGATGCAGGTGCAGCTAAAATTGCCTCGGAAGGAAATGTACTATGAGGAAAGGCACCAGGATCAAGCCCCCAGGAACAGCTCCATTGAAAGGTCAGGTGGGGAGAACAGGCTGGCAAATGAACCTCAGGGAAACCAGTGGAAGAACAAAGAGAAATACTGGCACCATGCAATCATGGTTTCTAAGAGAACAGCGCTTTAAGAATAGAGTGGTCAGTGGTGTCAAGTGCCACTGAGAAACAGTCTGAGAGGAATGAGCTCTAGGGAAATGGAGGAGGAAGAATTACGAGCACAGGTGAAGAACTCCTTAGGTAGGGAGGGTCCCTATCCCTACCATATACACACAGGAAAGGAAATAAAGCCGATGGCTTCAATAATTTTGTGAATGGAACATAAAAAAAGGGAACAGAGACATTGTGATTAAATAAAATCAAGAATCTAGTAGGCATGAGAGAATGCTATAAACTGCATGCTTTCTTCCTCAACGCCTAAACTGCTGTAGCTGGGAACCTGAAGCAGGGTCATCATTCCTAAGGAGAATAAGGAAGCAGATGTAGATTACCAGTCTTGAAGCTGGGGACAGTGCAGTATGGGAGTGGGAACAAAGAGGTCACTGAAATGATTTTGGAAAATGAAAGTCTTGAAGGATTTGGCTTGGAGAGAAGAAATTGCTGCCACTAGATAGCTGCAGGGGCAGTAGTATTTACACAGTCAGGTTTAGTTAAGGAAGAGAACTGGAAGACAGTTGTACCTCACAGGATGGAAAGAGAAACAGGTCAAGTCAGCACAAAAAAGCATAAAACGTTACCCACGAGTAGAAGAGAGCAGATGTGGGAAGGGGGTGTGTTTACAGTCTAAAGTGTCATGTTTCAACACATATGAGCTTTCATAACCAGTCATCTCCTTTTTTTTTTTTTTTTGGTTTTTTGAGGCAGGGTTTCTGTGTAGTTTTGGTGGCTGTCCTGGATCTCGCTCTGTAGACCAGGCTGGCCTTGAACTCACAGAGATCTGCCTGGCTCTGCCGCCCAAGTGCTGTGATTAAAGGCATGCGTCACCACCACCCTGTCCTCCAATCATCTCTTAAATCCCACCTTCCAAAAGTATTTCAATAATTTTATTTCTGGCATCTAACTTTATATCCTTGGTAAATCTGACTAGAGGCTATTACAATGGAACTTATTTATTCTTGGCACTTAAATGATCTCTTCTTGTTTAAATGACTTTTTATTATTTAGAAAGGATATTCTTATTTAGCACATCATCTGCATAGTGGTGACATTTTGCATTAATAGATAATCTAAACTTACCGTGCAATAGCTCTGATGAAATCTAGTGAAACTGTGCATTTGTACTTTGGTCCATCAAGCTGATCGTCATGACCAACTAGAGTTAACAGCTGTAGAGTCACTAGGGAGGTAATCTAAAATTGAAAGGATATTTTTATGAGAAAATTTAATGAGATTAAATGATACCTTTATTTATTTACAGTGCTACTAATAAAGATATAAATGAATCCACAAAGAATACAAGTATTTTAGGCTTTGTACACTCAAATTTGTATGTATGTTTAACATCCTAGTTAACAATGAAGGGTACTCATTAGAGAGCTCTAGTGTGGTAACAGATGATTCAAAATATTTATAGCATTTTCTCATGTAAACATCATTTACCTGTGTGCAGATTCAGGGGTGTGTGTGCACATGCGAGTGCAGTTGAGTGTGCATGCATATAGAGGCCAAAAATAAAGTCAAGTGTTTTCTGTTTTGTTTTTCTTGAGACAGGGTCTCTCCTTTTAGAACCCAAGGCTCATCTGTTTGGCTAGTTTGGTAAGCTAGTGAGCTCCAGGGATCTGCTTGTCTGTCTCCTAGGCTCTGAGATCACAAATGTGTGCCATCAAGCTCTGCTTTTCATGTGTGATGATGATCAAATCCAGGTCTTCATACTAGCAAGCACTTTTCTAGAGACAGCTCTACATGGCAGACGTTTCTACACAAGGAAGCTCCTCTGACTGCTCCAGCATACATGCCTAGGCATGCATAAGACAGAGATGAGACTGTTTTCCTATCCAGCTCTTGAGGAATCAGTGACAAATCTGACACCCAAGAAAGAGACACACAAGAGTCATTCCTATCATTACACTCCTAGAAGCAGAAACTGATTTATACAGCCTCTAGTTCCAGCAAGAAAAAGCAACAGAGGAAAGTATATAGGCTATAAATTAACATCTTAGAAGGATTTAATCTTTGTTGGAGAAAAGCTCCCTAAACAAAAACAAGCCATACACTCCTCGAACAATGTAATCTATTTTTAGCACTATCTAGTTTACAGAAGGCTTGTCATTCAATTGAGTTTTGAATTACCCTGAACATATTTCAGAATCAAATACTTTGTTAGGCTTACAGAGTTTGGTAAATGATAACCACAGCAGAAGAAATTTCCAGTTCCAACAAGATGACAGATTCAGATACACTGCTTCTCCCTGTTGAGTACAACTAGAAACCTGGATATAGTATAAGGGTCAACCAAGGAGGCTGGGAAAGGGGAAAGGACAGTGGACAATGCAGAGACACCAGGTCTGGAGGAGCAATACAAAGGGGAAAAGATGGAAATTCTTTGCAACAGTAAAAAGGAAGCCAGGTCTTGCACAGCTGGTGTGCAAGCCAGGAACGCAAGATTCATGGCTTTATTCTCCCTATGGATAGAAGATGGTGCTGTGAAAATGAACTTAATGATAAGCCTGTGTCTGGCAAAACTATCATTTGCAAATGAAATGGAAACAGACATTCTTAAACAAGAGAAAATTAGAGAATCTGCCACTGGCAGACCTACCTTTAAAGAAAAGCCAAGGGAAATTCTTTAAACAAAAGTCTAAAAGGAGCATTGAGCATCAAAAAGAAAAAATAACAACAGAGAGCAGATAGGTAGAAAAAAGCAACAGCTCCTTATGAGTCTAACATTTGATTAAAAATTATATAGTTGGAATTTTTGGGGGGTTGCCAACCAGCTCCCAAATATTGACATGGAGACTTATTATTAATTATAAATGCTTGATCTTAGCTTAGGCTGGTCCCACTAGCTCTTTTAACTTAATTTAACCTGTTTCTATTCATCTATATTTTGCCTCAGGGCTTTTTAAAATTTTTTAAATCTATCTTTCATTCTGTATGTCCTGTTTTCCTGCTTCCTCTATGTCTGGCTCACTGGCTCCTAGTTTTTCCCTCTCTCCCTCCCCCCGACCTCTCTCTCGCTCTCTCTCTCCCTCTCTCTCTCTCCCTCCAAGATTCCTCTTCCTACTTATTCTCTCTGCCTGGAAGTTCTGCCTATACTTCCTGCTTAGCTATTGGCTGTTTAGCTTTTTATTAGACCAATCCAGTGTCTTAGGCAGGCAAGGTAAACAAATGCAACACATCTTTACAGAGTTAAGCAAATATTCCATTCCACAACAAAACTGTAACAGCATCATATATTCAAGGCATTGCTACTTAATAAGTGTAAATGTAAAGACCTAAGTAGAAGAGCAAGTGAATAGCTTCATATAAAACCATGCACACCAAATTTCAGAGTAGCTTCAGTTATAAGAGCCCAAACAACAACCTCCACCAACCACCTCCAAACTAAAACACTTAAATAACTTCTATGTCCAATGGGCTCATGGTACAATCACATCACATAAAATTAAGCAATAAAAACAAAGGGGCTAAGGAGACTGCTCAGTGAATGAAGTGCTTGCTTTTAACAAGCATAAGGAACCTGACACCTAGTTAGGATTCCCCAGCATCTACATAAAAAGCTGGCAAGGCAATGTGCACCTGCAATCCCATCTCTGGGGAATGTGAAGAAAGGTGGATTCCAAGAGTTTGATGGCTAGCGCGTCTAGTCAACTAGTGAGAGAGCTTGCCTCAGAAAATAAGGTGGAATGACAGAGGAAGACACCTAACAATGACTTCTGGCATACACACCTGCACACAGGCACAAACAAACTACTGATATATGAAAGGTAAATCTCAGCTCCCACACACTGGGGAAGGAAAGGAAGATTTAAGGGTACAGCTATCAGTGGAAAATAGGGCAGGCAGATCCTTATGATGATAAAAATGGTTTGTACCATCACTGTGGTGATAAATAGACAAACCTACAGAGGGAAAAAATTTCCTTAACCAAAGATGCAGAGATGCACATAAAGATGAACAGATGTACAGGTTGGAGGGGTAGTGTCCCCAGGGTTTGATCCTTAGTACCAAAACAAAACAAACATTTTAAAAAGCAACACCTCTGCCCCCTAAACAACAGTAACAAGCATAGACAACCCCAAACACATAGAAAATGATTACATGAAGAGTGGGGAAACTGGAATAAGATCAGTAGACTGCATCAATCCCAACTTCTTGACCATGATACTTTTGGCTGAACATTTTGCAAAATGTCTCTGCCAGGGAACACTAGTGAAGGGCACATGGGAAGACAGGGTCTGGATCACCTTTTACAACTGTAGGCAAATGTATAATTACCCAGGGCTTGTAGTCAAAAGTTGAATAAAGCAAATATAAACACAGATAAGGTGTTCAGAAACTCTACAAACCTTTATCTTTATTTCAAAATGTTTATCTATGAAGCTACAAAAATCTTTTAAAATTAAAACATATTGGGCCCATATTCATCAGGATTCTTTAAACATTCTGATACAATATGGCCTTAAGTGGGGAAGCCAGAGAAGGCAATTGTTTCAATAGTGATGAACCACTGGAGTAAGTTTTTAAACATTATAGAAAGATTATCTCCTTAAAGGAATACCATTAGTTATGGTTTTGAAGTCTAGCCTCAAGGAGGTCTTGCAGTTAACAGTTCCATGCTATGAGCCCATACTGGTTTTCACAAATTTATCAGAGACCGGAGCAGGCAAAACATTATTTCTTTATACTGTAGGAGGATTATAGTGTAACCCTACCCTGAGTGGTTCCCGCCCCACCCCCAATTCTTAACTTTTATTTCTATTCTTCAAAATGACAAAAGTTTTATTTTTGTTTAGTAGCTATACAAACCACTTCCTTCTAAGTATATAAAAAGAAAATTTTTCTATGGTAAAAATAATTGCAAAAGAAAGTTCTGAGGGCTGGAGAGATGGCTTGGAGGTTCAAGGAATTTGCTGCTCTAACAAAGGATCCGGGGTTCAATTCCAAAGACCACATTGGGTGATGCACAACCTGTAACTCCAGTTATAGGGACCACACTCTGTTCTGGTCTCGGTATGCACAGTAGCATGTATATACATAAAAAAAACAAGTCTTTAAGAAGAAAATTTGAGCTAGCTCATAGGATATGGAAACCTTAGAAAGCACACCATAAAAGATGATGGGCATTTTCAGTCCCCAATAAGCTACTCAAGGCCAACTATTAAGTTCCACAATTATGTAATGTGAAAGTCCATATATGCCATCTTCTAGGTTTACTAGAAACATTTTAGAGTTCTTACAACAAAATTTCAAGTTAAGCATTTCATGTTCAGACTACTTTACATAATAACAGTGTTTAGCCAAAATAATGTCTGACTTTAAGTGATGACTACTGAAAAATGGTTTGCTAAGTTGTCTACTATTGTTTAAAAAAAGTCCCGTGTTAGCCTGTTTTATCTTTTCTTCTCTTTCACTCTTTCTAAAGTAAATGTAGATGTAAAAGGGTATTAACTCATTCCTCAGGACCGAATCAAGGGCATGCAAAGAGCTAAGAGAACTATCTACTAATACTAGTAACCATAGGACATACATGGCATGGACAATGGAATGTGTCACTTATCTGGGCTCTCTGCAGCCCCTGTGCTAGGTGCCTAAATTTCGCTAGGCCTCACAATTTCTGCTAATTAAGTACTAAAAACAGCTCTTTTTCCAGATTCAGAAACAGCCAGCCAGGCTGGCAAGCTGCTGATGCTGCTGAGCGAAGAGCAGAAGAGTACTGAGTCAGAATGTTATGGTTCTAATGTTTGGTGTCTTACGCATCAATCCCTACCTTATTCCTTTGAGACAGGATCCCTCACTGAACCTGGAGTTAGATTGGTGGCTGGCACACCCCCAATGATCCTCCTGTCTCAAGCCCAACAGTGTTGGGGCTATATGAACTTGGATGACCACATCCATCCTTTTGCATGGGCACTGACATCTGAACTCAGGGTTTCTGGCTAGCACAACACATGGTCTTACCCCTGAACCATCACTCCAGACCTAAATGTCTTACTTTATCTCCTAAGTGCTTAACTGTGTTGTCATCGATGGTTTTTCTCAAAATAAAAGTTCTGTCTTTTCCCCTTCTACTGTGGGATGGTCTGTATGTCAAATGTGTTGCTGATTGGTCAATAAATAAATCACTGATTGGCCCGTGGCCAGGCAGGAAGTATAGGCGGGAGAAGGAGGAGAATAGGGCTGGGAAGTG